TCTCTGTCTCTCTCTCTCTCTCTCTCTCTCTCTCTCTGTCTCTCTCTCCCTCTCCCTCTCCCTCTCCCTCTCTCTGACGGCCTTGTGGTTCATCACTCTCCTTCTAAGAGGCGTGGTCTTTCCTGTTTGCATCCAGCCTCATGGCAACCCATTTTAGGCTGTGTGCATCAAGCGTCTGCTCCTGAGGAGCATCACGGCAGGAGCCCAGAACCCGGAACTTCCTGGTGCAAAGGCCGACGCAGGAGCCATCCTAAAGATACAGCACTCTGCCACTTTTAGAGTCCGTGTAGGGAGCCCAATGTGTACCACAGCATGGTGGGTCGGTGGCTTTAACCTGCCCACACCTGACATTTCTAGGGTCAAATAGTGTCGGATGAAGCCAAAGGGGACTAGCTGGCACTGAGGGTTGCAGGCACGGACTAAGGCCACCGTGGCTGGGAAGTGGTAGAAGGCCCCCTGTTTATAGATCACCCACATTAGGGTCCTCGTCTGGGTTGGACGCCCTGCACTTGCGCGACAGCAACAACAGAAAGGCCTAGCCGCTTGCTAGGACGTTGCTTTAAAGCGGCTGGGATCCAGCACTCGGGCTGCCGCCTTGCGCTGGCTCTTTGCCATGGCTTATGGTCACTGTGGTTGCCAATCTATTTGAAAATGCGTTGGCAAATAAGCCCGAGACTAGAATTTATACCAAAAGCGATGAGCGTTTGGCAACGAGGTTGCTGTTTTTAAACGCAAGGCATGCTTCGCTAGCAACCGGGAGGCTCCTGTTACAAGTGCTGGAAGGGCACTGCTCCAAAGTAATTGCTGGATCGAAGAATGTCAGCATTTAGTGGCAGAGAAAAAAGGAATGGGGAACTGTACGCTAAAAGTTCTCCAGCAGCACAGAAGAATTAAATTGCACGCTAGAGCGGGAGTGGGCATGATGTGGCCCTCTTGAAGAGTCTGAGCTCCGGTTCCCTTCATTCCTGACCATCTCTGTGCTGTCTGGGGCTGATGAATTGGACTGCAACTCTATCTGAAAGGTCCCAGTTTTTCCCCACGCCCCATGTTAGAGCTGCTTGGCTTGATAAAACTTGAAGTTGTTGTGTTCTTCCGCTGTCCCCGCTGCCCTCCCACAGAACTCATTTCCACACTTCTCCTTGCTTGCAGCACAGCAGATCATGCCCAAGCCTTGAATGTTACAGGTAGCAAAGGTTTGCAGCAGAGCTTGTGAGGTCAGGGCGTGATAGATCCCATGCGCCTGCCTGCCTGTTGGACACTCTGCTGTCTGCCCGCCAGTTCCACGGACTGGAAGCAACAACCACAGAAGGGCTCTGGGTTTGGCCAAGAAGAGCCTTGCAGGATCACAATACTGCAGAAGGGCTTTCTGGTTCCGTAGCAGCCAACTGGGGACCTTCCTGCTGGACGTGGTGCAGCAGCAGCGGCTTCCTTGCGTTCTCCAGCCGCTGGTATCGAGAAGCATATTGCTTCCAACATGGCTGTCATGACTCGCAGCCACCAATACCCTGATGCTTAATGGATTGGCCTCAATCCCTTTTGTGGTTGTTACATGTCATCAAGGCATCTCTGGCTTAAGATACCCTTATGAATGCATGCCCTTCAAAATACCTTGTTCTGCACAGCTCTGCTCGGCTTTTGTTAAACTCAAGGCTGTGGCTGCCTTTGTGGAATCGATCCATCTCCTGTTGGATCTCCTTCTGTCTTCTACTTTCCCCAGCATCAATGTCTTCTTCAGTAAGTCTTTCCTTCTCATGATGTGCCTGAAGTGCAAAAGCTTCAATTTCATCAGTTTTTGCTTCCAAGACAAGTTTTGGCTTGATTTGCTCGAGGATTCCCCCAAGCTTGTAGCTGTCACTGCATCTTGTGGTAGCAAGTCATGTCCCAGTCAGTTTTCTGGGATAACCTTCTGAATGAAGAAAAACATTGCCCTGCCCATTTTCTCCAGGCAGTGGATAATTTTAGATACTTCCGTCCCGTCCCTCATTCCCCTTATTATACTTGTATAACACACTCAAGTGGAGAGATCGCTGGATGGTTCATAATGTAGACCACAGAAAACGGACCACAGAAAATAAGAAGGCCGAGTTGGTGCAACTGGCTTCAAGTTTTCCAAATGTATGAAGGAGAAAAATCTCTCCACAATTGGAAAATTAGCACAACTGGGACAGTGTTTTTCTCCCAGATGTGCTTTCTTTTCACAGGGGCTTTCTAAGCATAGAGGAGCGTTTCAGAACATTTCTCCAAGAGCTAATGCACTGCTTCTGTAGACCATGCTTTGTGTAAATTTGACGTTCACATGCACTGGCTCACACTTCTCATAGCTCTGTGTTGAAGACACCTTCATTGGGCAAAGATGGGGTCCCTTATTGTGCAGATATGGCGCAAGTAGCAGCTAAGTATTTTTCAAGCATAGACTTAAAAACAGCAAAAGAGACATGCCGATAGGACTATTTTCGGTTCCCTTTTTTCTGCTGCCTTTGTGATTCACAGAAATCACAAACAATTGAAGACAACATACAGAGAAATGGCATTAACATGCATGCTACTTACTAAAATAGGTTACCTATTTCAAAAGGATGACATTGCCTTTCTTAAAAATGGAGTAGAATTTTGATAACTAGGACTAGGCAAGGTTTCAGTCAATATCAATGTTACAATGTCTGTCCTGTAATGTCCAATTGTTAGCTTATAGTTCCAATACTAAATATAAGCAATTCTAAAAAGCGAAGTAGCTTGTGTTATCTACACAAACATAACTTCTCAAAGGCAGATCTTCAAGCAGGCCCCGGGCTTCTGTTCGAGCCTTCTCAGCTTTGGTGAATACTTGGCAATATTTGACAGCAGTCCAATTAGCACAGTTGATAGTCTTTGATGGCTAATTGACTGGCTTGCCAGCTCTCATTATCTGCTCAGGCTGAGAATTGGGACTTGAATCCTGCTATTCTGCAGTCCAAGTCCAGTGCTTAAACCACTATACCACATGGCCACCCTCTCCCTAATTTCTCTTCTGCTAAGCCCCTAGTTTGCACCTGCT